CATCACAATAGACATTTATACACCATTCGATAGCCCTTTTCAAGGGCTACATTCTAGACTATTTGTTTTTGAAAAAGGAGCAACTTCGATTTTTCACCTAATGTCCGCCTAGATGCCCACTGTGCACGTTCTGGAATCCCGTAGAATGGTGCAGCATGTACTCAAACTTTGAAAAACGAGGAAAATCGCCTTTAAGAGCTGTTTTTTTCTATCATTAAATGTTCTCTAATCGCAATGCGAATCCCTTCATTAGACAAAACTTGAAAAGACGAGTCGAGTGCACATTTTATTGTCTTGTGTTGATGTGATTTTATGAGGAAAAAATAGTTTACAAAACTGACCTACTTTTCGGAAAAAAGGATTTTTTTAAAATTTTCCTGACAACGTGCTTAACATTTTAGAACTTTTTGTCCGCTAGTGATGTTGTAGTGTTGTTTTCCCAACACTTTATACTCAAAACAGCAAAAGAAAGCGCCTTTTCGACATCAGAACGAGCTCAATTCCTGACGTAATTGGGAAAAAATTCAGTTATAGTTCAGAAAAGTAATAAGTATTATACATCAACCGACAGATCTCGATGAGCCGAATCTGCCGACACAGCCCTCAAAACTTTATCTCCTAGATTTTTCGATAAAAAATTCTGAAAGAATAATCTGTAACCGAAAGGTGAGTTTTGACAGTTATAACCCGCACTTGCGAAACTAATACTCTTGAGCTTTGCGATTGAACAAAGCACACTTAGACGAATTGAATGGTGTATAATAAGTTGAATTTTGTTTCTATTCTCATTGGCAATAAGCATTTAGAAATTTCATCGGACATTTCTTTCTTGAAAATTTCACAGGACATTTTTAAATGAATAAAACAACGATAAAATTATTAATCCATTCATTCGGAAGGAAGAATCTTTGCTCGTGGCAGGCTTATTGTAAGTCTAGAGTTTAACAAAAGTGAGTAGAATACATGAAAAGTATACAACAGATAGATAAAGTAAATAAAAACGTCTTTAAGAAAAATAAAATTGTTCCTGATTTTCACATTGCTGTCAGAATTTGTTACAGAAAGAGGGAACGTATATGAAATAATCAGCTTCATGATATTAGATATAGTCAATGACTGATATGTTGCTTATACTTATGGTACAAAATTATAATTTACGAAAAATATTTAATTATACGCTATTATCGTGGTTTTTGTACGCTGTTTCTGAAAGCACTAGTGCGCGGCAATACAAAAATCGGCAAGAGTAATCGGATTAGTAAGAGAACAGTAAATATAAGTACAAATCGTATCTATTGTATTTATACTTTGATACTTGGTTGAAGTCCGTATAGATGCTCAAAAACGTACTACTGATGTTAACTAAACGCAAAATACTGCACAACATACAAACTACAACAATCAAATAGACATTGGTAGTTACTCTAACAAAAGTTATTGATACCTCAAAAAGAAACTCTTCGATGATTAGTAAAAAAGTATGTATATAGACCTACATAAAAATGAAAATCAAGAAAAGCTTCATATCTTACTAAAGAAAACAAAACCACTGCACGAAAATAATTGATAATCATTCTATATTTTACCAGTTACTAATTACACCAAACTCTGACATTGAAAATATGATGATCGTCAAAGACCAACGATTATACGAATAACTGGCAATAATTAGAGACAATATCAACGTAAATATCGACCGTTTGAGCCATTGATGGAACTGATAACCACTCGTCAACTCCATGAACATTGCCTCCAACTGGTCCAAACCCACAAATTGTTGGAATACCACTATCAATTAACATATATCCTTCGTTAGCTGGACCGCATCCATTGGTTGTAGGAATAATGTTGAGTATCTTTTTAACTGCATTCACACAAGAGAGAACTAGTGGATGATTTGAATCAATTGTTGCAGCTGGTAATTGGTTTTTAATTGTAATAGATGCCGATAATCGAGCAGATGAAGTTGAATCAGGTGTCGTTTTACGATAATATTCATTTCTTTCATTAATTATATTTTTTATGATGTCTTCAATTTTTTTAAAAACATCGTCAACAGATGTCGATGGCATTAGGCGAATGTCAACCATAGCTGAAGCATTCGACGGAACAACAGAGACAAAACCGCCGCCATTCAAGATCGTACCTATAACCAAACATCTTTATCTTAAAGTAACGTAAACATTACAAATTTTGTAGTAAAAAATTCAGGAAAGTCACATCCATAGCATACGTACATTCGAAAATTGATTAGTAATGTGACTTTATAAGCATCTATACTGTAGTTATCAAATATCCGTATTACGCACTTGGACAGATTCGTTTCTATCCTCTATTTACAATTCTTAAAATTTCATAAATGTCGAATGCTGATAATGTGAAGAGACAATTATCATATTAATGAACGAAAGAAAATAGACAGAAGTTAATCGTACCTGGGGTCACAGTCAATGTTAAATTAGGAAAGGATGGATCTTTATCATTATTCCACGCATAATCCTCCAATGCTATTAAAATTCGAGCTAAAGCGGTTGACTATTTGAAAGCAAAAAAGAACAAAAGATAAAGTTAAATATAAATCAAAAACAAACAAACGAACCGCATTAGCTCCTTTCACTTTAGTATTCCATTCTACACTTCCAGTGTGCACATTTTCACCCTTTACTTCAATTGCTAATCGTAATAGTCCTCGATGTCCAATAGTGACATTTGTGCCTGGATAGACGTAGATAGCACCAGAACCCGAAATTAACTTTCTATCTAATAAATAACGAACACCAATTGATGAACAAGCACCACTTTCTTCATCAACAACACATGCTAATTGAATACTAACATTTAATTTTTGCTCTAAATTGTAATGTCTGTTGTAAAGACATTTATCTATCAAATAACTATCTTACCATCAATAAGTTGTTGAAGCAAATACAATGTGTACAAAGCACAAACAATACCCCCTTTGTTGTCACATGAACCACGTCCAATAAGTCTTTGAGTCTTGTCATCAATCATACCGGCAAATGGTGGAAATGACCATTGAGTTTCATCTTCAACACTCACCGTATCCATATGACCGACAAACAAAAACTTTGAAGGACCATTTCCTAAAGTAAGCTGAATCATAATCTTGCTTGTCAAATAAACAAACAATGAGACACACCAGCAGTAACAATTACATTTGGTCGATGTTCTTGATTGGGTACTGATACTAACTCACATTTTAGTCTTAAACTTTGACATTCAACACAAATTCGTTCAGCAACAAAACGTTCGGCATTAATCCCACAAACCGAACGAATACGTATCAAATCACATAAAAATGAAACCATTGATGATATTAGAGAAGACGATACTTTAGAAGTCATTTTCTGAAACAAAGGTCATGATCAAGTATTGAGTATCACTTTGGACGATGTTTTATTATAGTAAGAATCAAAGTCGAAGATGCTCTTCTCAGAAATATTGGCATCTAATGACAAATTAACAAAAATTTTGATAACTTTAGGTAATAATGAATTAGCTTCTCCAATTTCTATCATTCAGCTTCATCAGAAGTCAAATCATACTATATATTGAGATGTGTTCAAAATACTATTCCAGTACAATAACTTAATTGTTATTAAACCCCCCCCCATAATAGAAGCCTCCCCCATATTAGAAGCCCCCCCGTATTAGAAGCCCCCTCTGGGGCAATGGATGTGGAAGGTGTATTAGAAGCCCCGGGGCTTCTATTACGTCGAAAAATAATTTAAATTTTTTAAACGACACATTTGATCGACACGCGTTTTTTTACTTTAATTGTTCTTGCGTGATGTCGTGTGTAA